GCGAATCTCTCAGCGAAAAATCATCGTATCGAGATGCATAAAAAAGCATTTTAAAGAGGAGATTCTGTACTTTCATACGCTTTTAATCCCAATAAGCTACAATTTTTTCGTTTACGTCGTGCACCGTCGCAAACTCGAACCATTATTTTTCAATTTTGCATGCTTTCGCTCTGTCATCTGCTATTTTGGAGAAAATTGTCGCACATTATTACGTTATGAATTTTCGAACACTAGACATCCAAACTTTTAAAATGGTTTTTAAAAAATCCTGCTAGCTGTATTACGTGTCGAGATATTCAATTTTGAACCAGACCGAATTGCAAGAATAAGAATTCCGTGGTCATAAGCTCCGCGGTATTTTACAACTCCAAACTCTTCTTACGGTTGTAAGTGTCAATTCTGCTCTTAGCGTTACCCAGGATCAACGGCGTGGATGTGGCAGAAATCTGATCCCGTGTGTGTGTGTGCATGCACCACTGGGATAAGGACCTCATGGCTCGTCAGGTCCACGATATTTAACGACTCCAAACCCTCCCGGTGGTGCGTGTACAATTGCGTGTGCGCGCGCGTATATTAATAATAATGGGTATGACCTCCTTGTGCGCGTATTACCTCATTCATGCGACGAGGCATACTTCTTATTAATGTTCTAATTTCAGACTGCGTAATGTTATTCCACTCCATTTCAAGAACTCTTCGAAGTTCTGGCAATGACTGAGGAGCAGGTACATGATCTCGTACTTTCCTGCCAAGATTGTCCCATAGGTGTTTAATGGGATTTAAATCTGGACTTATTGCTGGCCATTCGAGTCGATTTATACCAACTTCACCGCAGAAATCAAGCACTCTTCTCGCAATGTGCGGTCGAGCATTGTCTTGCATAAACAAAAAGTCCTCTCCGATGAAGTGCGCATACGGAACAACGTACGGTATGAGTACGTCTTCCACGTATACATCTGCGTTCATGTTTCCGTCAAAAAAGTGGAGGTCTGTGTGAGCATTCGCAGAAATTCCTGCCCAAACCATTACAGAGCCACCATTGTAGCTACGCCTCTCACTTACAGTACAGTCTGTAAATCGTTCTCCAACGCGACGGTATACTCGTTCTCGTCCATATGAAGAATACAGACAAAATCGAGATTCGTCGCTAAAAAGAACGGTACTTCATTCTGCATATGTCCAATCTGCATGTTCGACAGCAAAATTGAGTCGAGTTACGCGATGACGACGCATAAGCGAAGGTACATTTGCTGACCTGCGGAAAAAGACCCGTGTTCCGCTAATCTGTTTCGAATAGTGTCAACGGATACATTACATTTGCGGACATCTCTTATATTGTTTCGAATTTGAACAGCCGTTCGATGTTTGTCTCTTAATGAATTTAAAACAATAAATCGGTCATCGTTTTCATTCGTATAACGAGGACGTCCCGAACCAGGTCTTCTTTGGACAGAATTAGTCTCTAAATACTTAGCATAAGCACGTTGCACGGTTGACACTTAATAATTCAAGTGCCTCAGCAACGTATCTTCGACTTCTCCCATCTTCAATTAACGCTACAACTTGAGCAGCTTTTTCAAGACTTATTGTCGCCATAATTGACAAATAATTTCAATGCGAAAAGATTAATTATTGTTTACTTTGACGAAGTCGTACGAATAAGTAATGCGTCTCGAAAGGAAAAGATCAAGGCTAAAGAGAAATCGGAGCAACGGTTGTCAGAGCAAAAAAAAATTGTTTCACATTTGAAGGAGATGTTTGCAGATCTTTTGTGATTTCTCCGCCCTGACTTTTTGTTTATGCT